TTATCAGTAGAATATTTCATTAACTGAATCGATAAATTTTGACAGTTTCTCATGTACGAAGTAAATTAATTAATCATATACTATTCAGTAGTAATCAATCAATTGTCAACAAAAATTGATAATAATTCCAAAGTTCATTTAGAATTTTACAAAATTATTATCTCTCACAGTCCCATTTTTTAAAGTCAATACAAAAAATACCCATTTCAGTAAAGTACTAAAAAGCATTATTTATTTCACTGTCTAAAAAGAAAGAAATAACCAAAAAAAACAAACTCTTCTCTCATACAAAACCCAACATATTTAAAACCCTCTTTAATCAAAATAGAAAATCCCAACTAAAACTAAATTCCCTCCGTTAAAAATTCAAAAAAAAAAAAAAAACATCTCTCCTCAATTTTTCATCAAAATTGTTTCATTACCAAAAGAAATAAATCACTGACTTTTCAATTTGATTTTCCCCAAATACTCACTCCTTTCTTTCAAATGACGACGTCTATAATAAAAACTATGCAATTCCCCACAAACACACAAACACACACACACTCGAAAAAAAGTATCAAAATGCCCCAAGAAAAGTGATCAACTTAAAATCCTTTTTACTATTATAGTATAAAACTAGAATACATCTAATTTCCATATCCTCAAATAAAGAAGGATAAACAGTATTCCCACCATCATTGAGATAAAACAGAATAGACATTTTTATCTCTTATCCCAGAATAAAGTACACTATGATACTCGATAGATAGACGCGGCGGAAAATAGATTGGTACAAGAGAGAGAGGGAAAAAAAAGCAAAACAAAACAAAAAGAAAAATAATAAACAAATTTCGCACAAGCATTAGATAAAAATTTAACCATTTTTCTTGATTCTTTTCTGCAAAAAGCAAAAACTTAAAAAAAAATTCTGCTACATTAGCTCGCACCATTAATAATCATAAAAGACAATAAATGAAGACAAAGAGAGGAGACAAGGCCCTCCCTACTCAAATCTCCCTTCCTCCACCCCACGTTGGAGTATAAGAAGGATGAGAGAATAAGAAGGGAGAAAGAGACAAAACTTTTTCCGTGTATACGTAAGCGACTTAAGCCAACTTTTTTCTATTTCGAAAAGTAGAGTCTCTCTTTAAATTCTTACTGACAGTTTGTTCCGTTTAAATGGAATTATATCGCTCATGGTCCTCTCACTCCTTTCTCCTTCTGTCATTCTGTTTCTCATTCTTTCTCGCATTGTCTTTCTCTTTCTTTTTGCCACTCTTTCTCTCATTCTCTCTTTTTCTTTTTGTCACTCTTTCTCTCTTTCTATCACTCTTTCTCTCATTTTCTCTCTCTTTCTCTTATTCTCTCTTTTTTTCTCTCATATTGTTTCTCATTGTCTCTCTCTTTTTATCATTCGCTCTGGTTTCTCTCTCTCTCTCTCTCTCACTCTCACTCTCTTTCTATCATTCTCTCTCGTTTTCTCTCTTTCATTCTCATTTTCCTTCTAACTCCCTCAAATTTTCCAAATAGTGGCAAAAACTTTTCACTCTCTAACAGCCAAAGTACTAATTGACTACTAATTCAGAATTAGAGAGTAATTTTCACTAGTGTTAATAATATAATAAAAAGTTCATTAAAAAAATTATCTGACCAAAACTAAAATCTACTACTAATTAAGAAGTTGAAGAATTCGGAAAATTTTTCTTGAAACTACGAAGTTTAATTTTGATGCAAAAATACAGAATTGAAAAAACAAAAAGTAACTTTCATCACTGTTAACAGAATTAAAAAAATATTTTAAAAACAATAGTCTGACCAAAACAAAAATTTACTACTAATTACAATAAGAAAAATTCAGAAAATAATTTTTCAAACTGGGAACATTATTAATTATGTTGCAATAATTTCGAATGTAAGAAACAAAAACTAATTTTCATAAATGTTAACATCAGACAAATTTTATATTAAAAAAATGTATCTGACCAAAACAAAAATATATTACTCCTTAAAATTTTGAGAGCTTGGAAAATTCTTTTTGGAAATGCGACCTTGCCATCTAATACAAAAATTTATAATTTAAACAACAAAAACTAATTTTTTATTATTGTTTAATTTAAATAAATTTAATTCATATTGAAAAAAATCTGTCTGACTGAAACTAAACTTTACTACTAATCAAAACTTACAGAATACGGAAAATTTTTCTTAAAACTACGAAGTTTTATTCTAATGCAAAAATTCAGAATTGAAAAAAAGAAAGAAAACTTTCAATACTGTTAACAAAATTAAATATACATTAAAATCATTTGTCTGACTAAAATTAAAATTTACTACTTATTGAAATTAGAAATTTTCGAAGAATTCTTCTTGAAACTACATTCTTTTGTTTCATTAAAAAAAATCGAAATTAGAAAATTAAAAACTATTTTTCACTTCTGTTAAAATAATTAAATTTTATATTAAAAAAATTTGTCTGACCAAAACAAAAATTTACTATGTATTTATAAAAATTACAAGTCTTTGAAAAATTTTTTTTGAAACTTTATTCTTTTGTGTTAATAAAAGAAATCAAAAAATTCGAAACTAATTTTTATCTGACAGAAACTAAACTTTACTATTAATTAAAATTGAAACAGTTTAGGATATTCTATATTTCGGACATTCTACTCGAAACTACGTACTTTCCTTCAAAAGCTATAAATTACAATTTGAAAAGCGAAAACTAATTTTCACCACTATTAACAGAATTAAATTTATATTTACACAATCTGTCTGATCATAACTAAACATTACAACTTAATAAAATTACATATATGCGGAAAATTCTTTTCAAAAAATCAATTTCTTTTTTTTAAACCTAAAAAAATTTTTATTTACTTACTAATTATATAAATTATTTAGTTCTCTTATATAAAAATTTCATTAACACAAATAAAACTTCGATCCAAATAAAATTTCTTTGAAACAAATAAAAAAAAAAATTACCGAATAAAAAAATGATTTTTACTATTTTTGAAAGAATTTTTCATAAAAAAAATATAAAAAACATTGTTTTTAGATTAAAAATGCTAAAAGATATCTTTGCCATTCAATTTTTTAATTTGGAAATTCACTTGTTTTTTTTCTATCGAATTTCAAATCATAATTTTATCAAAATTTTCCTATATTTCTTATTTTAAAAAATTATGATTACAGTTTTGCTATGAATTGTTATAAACAAATTATATAAACAAATAGACATTTTAGACGATGGCTTTCAAAAAGCTTAATGAAACTTGTTACTCGGGGGTTTTTGGGGTCGCTGATTACGAATATGACGTCACTTTTTCAAAATTCAAAATGGTGGATCCAATATGGCGGACGACTTTTCTAAAAATCGATCAAATTCGCCTGAAACTCGTTACTCGAGGGTTTTTGGGGTCGCTGATTACGAATATGACTTCAGTTTTTCAAAATTCAAAATGACAGATCCAATATGGCGGACGACTTTTCTAAAAATCGATCAGATTCGCCTGAAACTAGTTACTCGGGGGTTTTCGGGGTCGTTGATTACGAATATGACTTCACTTTTTCAAAATTCAAAATGGCGGATCCAACATGGCGGACATACAAAATAATTTACTCTCTAAATTTGAATTAGTATAAAAATGCATACTAATTTGAAAAAGTGACTGATTTTTGTTTTTGAATTAGTGAATTATACTAATAAATTAGTAGAAATTACTAATTTATTAGTAAAATTTACTAATTCAAAAGCAAAAATTAGTCACTAATTCAAATTAATAAGCATTTTTACTAATTTTGATTAGTGACTGACTTTTTCCTTTTTAAATAGTAAATTTTACTAATAAATTAGTAGAAACTATTATTTATTAGTAAAATTTAGTTATTTAAAAGAAAATCTCTGTCAATAATTTAAATTAATAAGCATTTTTACTTTTTAAACTAGTAACTAACTTTTTGCTTTTTAATCAGTAAGTTTTACTAATAAAATAGTAGAAATTACTATTAATTAGTAAAATTTACTAATTCAAAATAAATACTTCGACACTAATTCAAATTAATAAGCATTTTCACTAATTTTGATTAGTGACTGACTTTTTGCTTTTTAAATTGGTAAAGTTTACTAATAAATTTTGTAAAAATTACTCTTTATTAGTAAAATTTACTAATTCAAAATAAATACTTCGACACTAATTCAAATTAATAAGCATTTTTACTATAATTTGGATTAGTGACTGACTTTTTGCTTTTTAAATTAGTAAAGTTTACTAATAAATGTAGTAGAAATTACTCTTCATTAGTAAAATTTACTAATTCAAAATAAAAATTTAGACACTAATTCAAATTAATAAGCATTTTTTAGTTTTTTACTAAATTATATTTAGAGAGAATTTGAAACAACTACAATGTTCAGTAAAGTGTACAAAAATTGTCGCAATTTAGACCAAATTTTTTTGAATTGTTTCGAATCCAAGTCTTTTTCCATGTATTTTTGACTTTTTCGGTGTACACTTAAGCGATTTAAGCCAACTTTTTTCTATTTCGGAAAGTAGAATCTCTCTTTAAATTCTTACTGACAGTTTGTTCCATTTAAATGGAATTATATCGCTCATGGTCCTCTCTCACTCCTTTCTCTTTCTATCATTTTCTCTCTCTCTCTCTCTCTCTCTCTCTCTCTCTCTCACTCACTCTCTTTCTATCATTCTTTCTCGTTTTCTCCTTCATTTTCCCTCTCATTCCCTCACATTTTCAGGGAGTGGCAAGACCTTTTCACTCTCTAACACCCAAAGTATCTTGACTCGCCCGGGGCATCAGAAAAGCTTAGAGATGTCTCTCAGAGAAAAGGAAGGCAACTCCTCTTTATTCCACAAGGCATAAGGAAGTGAATGCTTTTTTTTTCTCTTCTTTTTTTTCACCAAGCGGGCAGGGAAGGAAAGAGAGGTGAAATAGAAATGTACATGTGAATATAGTAATATGTGTATGTATATATATATATATATATATGTGAAACTCACCAGTTCTCACGAGAACGTGAAGTAGAAGAGACAGTATAACAGCAGTGGCACGATATCCGTGTATAATGATCATCAGCCATTGAGATATGTTGAAGCCAGCCTGCCACAAACTCGGCGCCTCAAGCACCATTTTTCCCCTCTAGCGCCTATTTTAGAATCGCCCCCTCCTCCTTGTCCTTTTCCTCTGATTCAGCCTCATTCGCGACCTGAATTTTGCAAATATCACTTCTCAACAATATCAAGTTCACTGCTTCTCAACTTTCTTCGAGGAGGGACAACAATACTCCCCCATCCATCCCCCTCTCTTCTTCTCTTTCTCTCTCTCACTCGTCCGATTTTCTTCAACTCTTGGTCTGCATCAACTTTATATCTATATACATACAGAACACTATATATATATATATATAAGGAGGATTTTCAAATAAGGGGGTGAAAGGGAGTTGAAAGGGGGGTTCAAATATTGTTCACAAGTTCACAACTAGACGACGATATTGCATGAAACCTCTTTGTAGAATGTATAGATATAGCATAAGTATCCCACTTCAATATAACGGGGCTTTTCACCTCTCACTTTGTGAATCAGTTCGCGCAATCATTGCTTTGAGGGAAATCTTCTGACGCGAAGAAGAAGTCATCTGTCATATCATCCATTTCCTAAGGGCCTAAAAGGAGATTACCGAATGATTTGTTTGCCAAGTGACCCTTTTTCATATATGCGCGCCAAAAAAAAGGGGGATAAAAGAAAAAGTTACCGCCGAGACTATAATATACAATCCCTCATCTTTTATTTCGATTTACAACTTTCTTTTTATTTTTTTCTCCTTCTCCCCAATTCTCTTTAGGTATATGGGTGATTTTCTGAAAACAGGTCACTTTATTTTCCCTTTGGTTTTAACTTCAATTTTTTTTTTTTTGTTATAGGTGCTCTCTCACTCTAAATTTGAATTATAGTGAAATGTCGACAACTAATTCAAATTAGTTATTATTTTTATGGAATATTATTGGTGACTTTTAATAAAGAATAATATAATAATAAAGAATACTTTATTTATACATTATACGTGTGACTTGGACAACGTCGTAATTTCAACTAACTAAAAAGATGAGAGTTCTTGTATTTACAAACTAACAATATCAATCCGAGGTCATTACAGTGTACCTGCTCATAAACAATACAATAATAAAATTCGGTTTTCGTCGAGACCTTCTTTTTTGTGGTCAATTTCTTTTGTTATTTAATTTTGCATTTATAATTTCAACATTTAAACATTAGTAGAATTTTATGTTGAATTTTTTAGTAAAATTTTACTGTTTTATTTAGAAATTTAAATTGTTTACTAAAGATTCAGTACAAGTTAAAAATAGTTATGGTAAAAAGAGCTATAGTAAAAGTAGCAGTAAAAATTAATAATAGTAAAAATTATTCATTTTTATTGATTTTTACTAATTCAGATTTGCTCTCTAAATTTAAATAGTTGACTAATTATTTCAAATTAGCAAAATTTTGTGCCAAACTTCAGTCAAATTTTACTGTTTTATATAAATAATTAAAAATTTTTACTACTCTCTAAATCTGAATCAGTGAAATTTGACTGAGAATCAGTGACTCTATTCTCGCGATTTCAATCAGTGGAATTTCACTAAAAATCAGTTAAAAATAACTGAAATTTCAGTTCTTTTCCACTAATATTGTCGAATTAAAAAACTACTAAAAATTTCTGTCACACATATTGAAAATTTCAGTTATTTTTTAATTGACCAATCAGTGAAAAATGACTGAAATTTCAATCATTTTTAACTGATCTTCAGTAAAATTTCACTGATTTTTTGTGACAACTTTCAGTAGAATTTTACTATTTTATTTAGAAATTTTTATTTTTTACTAAAAATTTAAAATTAGAGATAAAATTGGAATTAGAAAAAATTGGAAATAGTAATAGTAAATTTGTTCTAATTTAAATTGATTTTCACTAATTCAGATTCACTCTTTAAATTTAAATTAATAAAAAGTGCACTATTTTAAATTAGAAAAATTTTGTGCCAATTTGTAGTCAAATTTTACAGTTTTATTTAAAAATTTTAATTTTTTACTGAAGATTCAGTAAAAATTAGAAAAAATTGGAAATAGTAATAGTAAAAAATTAATTATAGTAATTGTAAGAGTAAAAATTAGCAATAGCAATAGTAAAAGCTACTGATTTAAATTGATTTTCACTAATTCAGATGTACTATCTAAATTTAAATTAGTAAAAAGTCCAGTATTTCAAATATGCAAAATTTTGTGACAATTTATAGTCAAATTTTACTATTTCATTTACAAATTTTAATTTTTTACTAAAGAGTCAGTAAAAATTAGAAAAAAGTAGAAATAGAAATAGTAAAAGTCACTGATAGTAATTGTAACAGTAAAAATTAATAACAGTAATGGTAATTTAGTAAAAAATAGTAATAGCGATAGTAAAAGTTACTGATTTAAATTGATTTTCACTAATTTAGATTTACTATCTAAATTTAAATTAATAAAAAGTCCAGTATTTCAAATTAGCAAAATTTTGTGCCAATTTATAGTCAAATTTTACTATTTCTTTTAGTATTTTTTAATTTTTTACTTAATTTTTAGTAAAAAAGAAATTACCAAGAAATAGTAAGAGTAGAAATTACTTATTATTTATTAAGCAAATTACTCTCAGTATTTTTTAATTCCTTGCTAGAATTTTAGTAATAAAAAAAATTACTAAGAAATGGTAATGGTAAAAATTACTAAATTTAATTAGTGGACGACTTTTCATTAATTTTGATTATCTCTCAAAATTTAAACTTGTAAAAAATCCACTTATTCAAATAAGCAAATTTTTTATCTTTAGTATAATTTTACTATTCCATTCAGAATTTTTAAATTTTTTTACTCAAGTTTTAGTAATAAATGAATAAAAATAGTAATAGTAAAAATTACTAATTTAAATTAGTGAACGATTTTTTATTAAATCAAATTTATTCTTCAATTTGTAATTGAAAGTCCACTAATAAGTAAAATTAGCAAACATTTTGCTACCTTTTAGTGCAATTTTACTATTTTTTTCAGAATTTTTGATATTAAACTTGAGTAAAAAATTTAAAAATTTAGTTACTCAAGTTTTAGTAAAAAAATTATTAGAAAGTAGTAATAGTAAAAATTACAAACTTTGTGACAATTTTTAGTAAAATTTTACTATTGTGTACTACAAATTTTAGCAATTTTCAATTTTTAAATCATTTTTCGTAAAAAATTATTAAAAACTAGCAAAATTAAAATTTAAACTGATTCAGATTTATAAAATAGAAATAATTCGTGAAAAACGGCTAAAAAACAACGTTCTAATGTGGTTTCCCCCCTTAAAATAAGTGGAAATTTAAAACATTATATATTTATTTTCCATTTCCTATTTTTATTAATGCAAGACGAAGGGAATATTTTTATATATTTCTCACACCTCTCAACACTGTCAAAAGAAAGGTACTAATTTAGTATTAATTTTGGTACTAAATCGTAATTTTTTTCTATTTTAATACCGAAATCAGCTCTAATTTAGAACCTTTTTTTTACAGTGAAAAATTCCAAAATATTCAGTTTCAAAAATTTTGAAATTAAAAACCTCAAAAAATGAATATTTTAAATTTTTTACTTATGAAACCTTATTCAATAGTCTAAAGAGTAAAAAAAAGAATTCGTTACAAAAAAAATTTTCTAATAAAGAAAAGTGCCATTATCAAAGGCAAAAGTGACGATCTCGTAAAGAATCACCCATATAATGTTTCTCTCTACTTAAGTATCATTATTATCATTGTGAAAGGAGGCTGTTTATTGCTACAAAGCGGAAGAGAAATATCAAAATCTAAACGATCCAGGAAGTGAACAAAGGCCTGATGTACGTTCCATTGTCATTCTAAAGTGTATACATATATATATTATTCTACTCCTCGTGCATTAAGACCAAAAACGAGCTAAATGCATCCCCAAGGATTAAATGTATCCTATACGTAGAAAACAAAAAAAAAATGGTGTGAATTTCTCAAAACGTATTCTATTTCACGTTCGCCAATGTTTATTAGCTCTGTACCAGAGTTTTATTGTGTCTGGCACGAAGAAAAATGTCCAAATGTGTGAGAATGGTTGCTTTAATGGGGAAATTAATTTTTAAACAACTTGAAAGATGCTTCCGATTTAAAAACATTGGCTTTTAAAGTAAATTTATTTGAAAGTGCTCACATTATATAAAGAGAGAGAGAGAGAGAAAGAAAGAGGAAAAAAAACACCCGGGAAGTGCTTCCCAAACTATTTTTTTTTAATTTTTCACTTTAGAAAACACACACAACATAAACCCATCCTCTTATTTATTTATGCACTTTGCGTTACTTTTATCTCGTTGGAGGATATAATTTCTATCAACAAAATTTAAAAGACACTAATTATCATCAAGTACATACTTTTTTCCACACATATATTTAAGTTCACCATTCACGTTATATATTCTTCAGCTACGGCAATTAAAATTAAATGAATTTCATTAGAAGCTCGTAGAGATTAAGGGGATACATTTCAAAAAAAGAAAAAAGAAAAAAAGGGTAAAAGAAAAACGGTTTACGCGCTTAAAAATACACAAAGAAATTTACTGGACTGTTAACAAAAATAAACTCCACATCTCGAGAACCTTCAATAATAATTTCTCTAATATATTTATATAAAAAAAAAGTGTGAAAAATAGATTTTAAATAATTGAATTTTCATCTCGCAAAAATAGAAAAATTTTAATTGACAGTTACTCTAGATTTTAAAATAATAGAATATTCTATCCAAAGAGAAATACTTCAATTTATATTAAACATTGAAAATATTTAATTTAGATTTTTCATTTTTATTCAAATCAATAATTTTTATTAATATTTTTATCGAAAAAATATTTTGTTCAATCAAACATTTCGAATTTTTTCTAACATGACAAGTTTACAAAAAAGCTGATAAATTGGAACTTTTTTCTAAATTTGTTTTTTATGCATAAAATACGTATTTCATAAAAATCACGTTTAGAAAGACAGGAGAAAATAATTTATCAGGTTTTGCTATGACTTGTTCCTAATATTATTATTGTTCATAATATTTAAAATTCATAAAAATTTTACAGAACAGAAGAAAAAAATGCTACAACTAAAATTTAAATTCTTTTATTTTCAAACAAATTTAAATAAAAATTTTTTTATAAAAGTTAATAAAATGTAGTAAAAAACTTGCTATCGAAAAATTAAATTTTTAAACTAAAAAAATTAGTTTTTAATTGATTCATAAAAATCACAAAAATTTGATTCTGTATTTCCCAGATTTCCGTAAAAAATACTAAATTTCCTTTTTATCCTGGTAACAACTTCAATTTTAAATTTTTCTAAAATACAATTATTTTACAAATTAGTTAGAATTCTTTAAAAGTACAATCATATTTAAAAATAATTTTTATAAAATATAAAATATTTATTTATTAATAAAATTTTTTAATATATAAAATATATTTCAATAAATTTTTAATTAAAGGAAATTAATTTATCATTCGGTAATTAAATATTAAAGGTGAAAGAAGTTAACAATTTGTTAACTTCTTTCACCTTGAATAATTTTTGTTAAATAAATATTTAA